GAATCTAGGGAGACAGCTTAGAGGGCTGAATGCATGCTCAGGGTTTCATTCTTGTGCCACATGGTACGTGAGCACTGCCCAGAGCAAGCCCTGAGTATTACCAGATGTGATCGCAAAACAACTTGTTTACTGAATAAGTGAAGTGATGAATGTGTAAATGATCAAATGTATGATTCAAAGGCCTTTTCTGTCACTTCTACTGCAGTCATTGGGCATTGGACAAGCGGAGTTAATTTGTCTTCGGTGGGTGTTGTTTATTGAATGAGTTCTTATTATTTAGACTATGAGTGGGGAGTTTACAGTTTGCATCTCTTGTAGGATATATTGTAGCCTGGTGGCAAACCGTTTTGTTTATCTAATAGGTATCTATAGCTGTTATATACCATTAATATATACCTTTAGAACCGAACCATCTCAGAGTTAATGAAACAATTAAGACAGTGAAGGTTTTGGGTTTTGTTTTTGTATTCATGTTTTAATTCTATGTATCTGTATTAGAATTTTATTGTGTTATGGAACCAAATCCTACTGTTCTTATTATATTTGCAACATTTTTCAGCCTTTGCATTTTTCCTTTGTAATTTCAGGTATAGATTTTTTTGTTCTTCTTTACATCAGATGCATGCTTCTCTCTTTTTTAAATATTACATGAAACAATGTCATCAGAGAAGCATTTATTTTGAACAATTGGATCCCATATTTATACACATTCTTAAGTGAGTACCTATCAAAGAAAGTATCTGGGTCTCACTTAACTCTAGTGACAAGGTCTCATGAAGGGGACCGGCAGCCCCTTCACTCCCCTTAACCATGCTCAGGGACACTGGAAATTCCCCTGGCGCCTGCTGTGCCTCTCTCCCTGCCTCTTGGCCTCCAAGCTCAGGAAATAGGCAGGCCCTTCTCATTCATTCATGCCAGCTTATCTCAAGTTCTCCTCAACCAGGAAGCAACTCAATATTCACTAGGCTTCACTAGGTGCAAAGTCAATGGGTAGGCAAAATGTCAATAAAGGTGTAAGTGAAAGAGTGAAATAATTGTGTCACCCTGTCACTGAGCTAGTGCTCATGAGTAGTGTGCTTGTGAAGAAAACTGCGATTAATCTCTTTGTGAATGGTGCCAGTGTTTGCATTGGTGTCTTCTCTGCCACTGGGTTCTGCTATAACAGGGTAGGACTCATCCTCACCCCGCGTTCCTTTGTTCTAGCTCTTGGTCATGCTCCTGCTTATCCATGTGTCCCTTCAGTTGTCTTTCTGGAACTCTCTTCAGTCACTTCACTTAACTCTTCCTTTGTACTTTCTTCTTTTTACTCATCACATACTTTCACAGTCCATCCTTGTTTTGTTCTCTGTCCTTCTGCTCTCCTACCCACTGCTCCCAGTGACATACTAGACCACTAGCAGAGGAACCACTTGCCACTTCTTCCAACCCAAATGCAGTGTTTGTACCTAAGTAAGAGACAGCATCAAGTCTTGAGGCATTTTGCAAACCAGTCAGCACTTTGCGCCTGCGTGTGTGTCAGGCACTGAAGGTGCAGGGAAAAGTAAGGCAGTGTCCAAGGTGACAGAAAAGTTAACAAATAATTATAAACCGTAAATGCTTTCAAACTTAGATGAGAATGTAGAATAGTACTAAGGTGTGTAAGAGTAAATGCTTTCATATAGAAAGAGTAACTTTTCATTTCCTTGGCATGGAGGCTGGGAGGGGTCGTTGGAACATTGGTGGAGGAAGGTGGGTTTTCTGGTGGTGGCCTTTCACTGTCACTGTCCTCCTGTTGTTCATCAATTTACTCGAGCGGGCCCAGTAACGTCTCCATTTTGAGACTTATTGTTACTGTATTTGGCATATTGAATACATCACGGATAGCTTGCCAGGCTTTGCTGTGCGGGTGCGATACTCTTGGTAGCTTGCCGGGCTCTCCGAGAGCAGCGGAGGAATCGAACCCAGCTCTGGCTGCGTGCAAGGCAAACGTCCTACCACTGTGCTATTGGCTCTAGCCCCTGGTGGTGGCCATACATTTAATTATACTCAAGTGTCTGCTTAAATATAATTAAACGTATTTTAAATGATACATGTACATGATACAGAATAAAGTACATCATACTTTATTCTGCAAGAAAATAAAGTTTTATTGGCTTTAGATGGAGATAGGGCTCAGGGAGGGGTCTCTCTCAGATTGTGCTCAGGGCAGCTGGGATCCTTCCCAGAAATTCTGTCAACATCGTCAGTTCAGTGATAGGGCCCAAGGGGGCAGTGCTGGGAGGGCCCTGCGGTGCTGGGCATTAGCCCAGGTCATCCTGGCATAGGGGGCCGCTGGGCTAACCTGAGATGCTCAGGGGACCATGTGATGCTAGGTATTGAATGGGCGTCTGCCACATGCAAGGCAGGTGCTTAAGCCCAGTACTGTCCAATAAAGAAAAATTCTTCATAATCATTTTAGCACTTTGGGGGGGCTTCCAAACAATGTTGTGGGACCTGGGGTACATTCCTGGTGCACCTTAGTTGTCTAGGACAAATTATTCCATTTCTGGGACCACCAAAGTTACACTGGCAGGCTTGGGGGCTTCCAGGCCATACGCCTCAGTGCTAGGTGTGGGGGAGTTTGGCCTTGGATCTGACTGCTGAGCCATGTCCCCAGCCCTTTCAGATATGTGTATAATATTCAAGGTAACCTGGAAACTGGAATTGAGGACTGACGGGGTTTTTATAATTCAGTTGCGAACTAAATGATGAGGGAAATTAGGCAGGGAGGAAAAGTGACTTTTACCCCCTTCTCCCTCCCCAAGGAAATTACAGGGTGTTTTTATAATCCTGGTTCTTGTAGAATGAAAATGGCAACTGGGTGCTCAAAACAGCCTAAGGGATTAGCTTGCTGAAGAGTAATTTCCTGAGAGTAAGTAGTGTAAATGTAATAACTGACTTTTAAAGGAACCCAGTAAAAATCTCTTCCCCTCAGAGCCACCATCCTCTGACTCTTGATGAACTCTTGCTTTTTGGGGTTGGAGAATGAGCTGTAAGTTCTTATAGGCCTAGGTCTGTGCCTCATATTCAGTGGTGGGAATATCGGAAACAGCCCCCTCATGGCATGCGCTGGCGTCAGAAATCATCTCCTTTCTCCTGTGTTTAGCTGGGGTTCTGCTGATGGGGGCAGCAATACCTGCCTGGCTCTGTTGTGAGCAGTGACAGTGGGTGGGAAAGAGCATCATCTTCATGCTGGGGTCTTCGTTCCTCCTGCCGCTCACTCGGGGTGACTCCTAGTTTTATTGCAATTACAAAATTTTTGCTATGACTTATAACAATTGTTCTTTTAATATTACTGTCTTGAAGCTAATATGATAAAGCATAAAATGGTGGGTTTCTTATGAATTTTTTTTCCCTAAGTAACCCATTCGAGGTTATACAATGTGGGACAATATTGGTATTTTCTTATATGAAGCATGATTTTAAAGTTCTCGTCTTTTTCTCGTGCACCTGTTGCCTGACTGTGGGCATCTGCCAAGGGCTCTTCCCACCCCCACCCAGAACCCTGGCTCCTAGAACAGGGACTTGATGGCTATCAAGTCATCTTTCCACCCCCACCCACTTCTCTCAGGATTTGTTCCGCATTTCTCACCCAAACTCTTTGACTCTGTTTCCTTTATCTAGGAAACTTACTTTTCCTTTTTAAGTTAAGCCCTAAAGCTCAGGGCAGCAGGGCAGGATGAAGAACAGAGTCCAAGTTTGTGCCCAGTGGTCATCTCTGTGGGGGCTGATGCCTGGAGCTGACACAGCATTTGTTAGAGAATGAGCTGCTCCCTCTTCTCCCTCTTCCCTTCCCTCTTCTTCCTTCCTTCTCCTCTTCCCTCTCCCCTTACAACCAGTACTGTTAATGATGGTTTCAGGCATGTGTCATTCCAACATCACACCCACTGCCAGAATACCCACTTTCCTCCTCCGGAGTACCAAAAACCTTTTCCTTTATGACCGCTTTCCCCACAGCAGACTCAGTTCTGTGGACCAGTTCTACTGTCTTTGTCATCTGTTGCTCCCTTACTATGTACTTTATATCCCACACAGAGAATAATCCCACATCTGTCCTCCTCCTTATGACCAGCTTCACTTATGTTGAGACATGATACTTTCTAGTTCTATCCATGTCCTGGTAAATTGCATTATTTTTGTCCTTACAGCTGCATAGTATTCCATTCTGTATACATACCACAACTTCTTGATCCATTTATTTATAACTAGGCATTTGGGTTATTTTTATATCTTGGCTATTGTACAAAGTGCTACAATGAACATAAATGTACATATATCCTTAGAATTAGTGTTTTTGCCTTTTCGGGGGAGATAGCAAGAAGTGGTATTGCAGGGTCATATGGGAGTCCTATTTTTACTTTTTGGGAGAGATTTCCATATTGTTTTTTATAGAGCTTGAACAAGGTGACATTCCCACCAATAGTAATTAGGGTTCCTTTCTTACCACAACCCTGCCACACTGTTCCCAGACTCTGATACCTGCCATTCTTAATTGTTGTTTGAATTAGTATTTCTCTAATTATAAGTGGTGAAGAGCACATTTTTAATATGCCTATTGGTCTTCTTTGAGGAAGTGTCTGTTCCTCTCCTCTCTCCATTTATGGATGGGATTGTGGATTTTTTGTTATTGCTGTTCAGCTTTGTGAGTACTATCTATAATTTTGTATTTTAGTCCTTTATCTGATAGATTGTGTGCAGACATTTTCTCTCATCCAGTGGAGTGGGTGGATAAAACTTATTTTGGCTTGAGTTTCTTTTCCTGTGCAGAGCCTTATAAGTGCTTCTAAAAGCCAGGAGAAGTCCAAATGCTGTCACTTATACCCATCTCAGACACAGGAGCCCCCAACATAGCCTTTAAAATTTATTGCAGGTCCTTTTAAATTAAAAAAAAAATAAGGATTTTGTAATCATAAGAGGAAAGTTTTTTTAAAAATATTAGTATTATTGAAAATATTCCCCTTAAAATTTTTTATTTTTTACAGCCCAATGATGATAATTACCCAGAAGATTACTAGTTTGGCTTATGAAATTCATGATGGTAAGAATTTGAAATTAATTTTTCATCATGTAAAATATGGTTAAATGATTTTTTATTTGATATTTTACCATAATGTGCTCTTAAATATTATAGGTAAGGAAAGAATGGAAATGATATTGTTGCTTTAATTTGCATAATAGATGGAAGAACTATTTAACTCAGCTGAGATGTAATTATTTTCCATCAGTGTTGTCATATTTTTGTATACAATTCAATAATGAAAACAAAGCAAAAAAGTGTTACTCAGTCATATGACTCATATGAAAGATAATTTAAAATATAAAGGAAATAGGTATTTGGTGTTCATTGAGTTTATTACCAGGATTAATAAACACACTTCTATGTTACACTCCCATTATAATTTAGATGTTTTACCCCCTATCTTTCTCCCTTATATATAGAATCACACACTTAACCTAGATTTTAGTGTAAACGTTTTCATATTCACAGTTTTCATCCTAGTGAATAGACACTTTGCCATAAGAAGTGCTAACAGTCTGAGCCAGTGTCCCAAAAGTCCAATCCTTCCTTCTGAGACAGAGGGAGTACTTTGCCAAGAATGTCCCTGCTGCCCCACCATCACCATGTATATAGTTCATCTTGTACCATCTGCTAGGAAAAACCAACAAATATTTTGAAGTATGTTGTTGACTTATTTCAAATTTCTTTGATTTTTAGGATCTTGAAATTAAATGTACAGTCATAAGTAATACCTTACTGTTGGGGCAGAAATGTAAAGGAATGATGAAATGACAGATCAGGTTTTTGGGTTTTTTTTTTTTTTTTTTTTCTTTTTGGGTCACACCCAGCAATGCACAGGTGTCACTCCTGGCTCCGCACTCAGGAATTACTCCTGGCCCTGGCGGTGTTCAGGGGACCACACGGGATGCTGGGAATCGAACCCCAGTCGAACACATGCAAGGCAAATCCCCTATCCGCTGTGCTATCACTCCAGCCCCAACAGATCAGTTTTTATTCATTTGAATCATGTAGGAGCAGTTGAGCTTCTCATTCAACTGAGGCTTGCTGATTCAGTTACGCAATAACAGAAAATATGTAACACTTCTTTTTGGAAAGGCATAGCATTTACTATTAAATGTACAAGCAAGACAAGCGCTCTACTTGCTGTACTGCTATAACAGTGGCCCCCACACTGAGGAACTTTTTAGCGTCATAATTTTCCGCAGTTACTTCCATTATTTATTTCTCTTCGTGGCCTCCTGAGTATTGCTCAGGCAGTTTTGGTGATGCTCAGCTGGGCCAGACAATTCAATGTGAGGACCTGAACATGTGAAGCTGCTGAGGCCTGGTTCTGGGAACCTCCAGGGTCATAACTAGAAGTGCACGGGGGAGCCATTTAGGGACAGGCACCGATTTTGGGTCCCCAGAGTTCCCTAACTTCTGAACAACCACCCTGGCCCCTATTTATTTGTTGCAGTTCCAGGGATAGAGCCCAAGCCCTTCTACATGTGAGACTTGCTCTCTTCCAGTAACTAAGCCATATCCACCGCCTTCCGTGTTTATCTTATGCATACCTAGACACTGTGGGTTATTACATAACCCCCTTTCATACAGCTGGGCCTTTGTTCTGGCAAGAAAGAAACGTACCAATTATACAAAATGGTCATACCAAATTTGGCCTTTTAAACATGAATTTCAAGTGGTGGGAGTGGAAAAAATATAGCTCTTTCTTTGTAAGAAAACTAAATTGATTGTAGTACCTATTTTTATTTCTCAGGCATGTTTCGAAAGGATGAAGAACTAACTCCATCACAGAGAGGTTTAGCTGTAAGGTGTGTATACTTTTTGTTTTAATTGAATCACTGTGAATTACAGTTACAAAGATGTTTATGATTGAGTTTCAGGCCTATATTGGCTCAACACCAATCCCTTCAAATTTTTAAAGCTTGCTTTAAAATTTTATTCTGTCATGATTCCAGATCTCTGCCTTCAACACACATCACTCTGAGTCTTTCTAGAAGAACTTTTCCCTGTAAAAGACAAATCTTCCCTTGCTTAGCCCCTTGCCACCAGATCTGACTAGGCTAAGCATTCCTTCTCAGGCTCCCATAACCCCTTGAGTATATCATGTCTTACCTATATCCAATTTGCTGTGTCATGAGTAATGAAGTCGAAACCCTCCGCAGTTGTTTTTAAAGATTTGTGTAGAAACTCTGATCTAAAATGCTTTTTAACATTGCTTCTTTACAGTCTTTTTCACTTTTATTGTATGGATGCAAATGAAATGCAAAGAGTATTTTCATTTTGGAACTTATTATGAGCAGTGAGGTATAGCTGATGATTATTCCGATGAAACTTTCTGGAAACATATGTTACCTCTCATAGTTGCATATCTTTTCATTGTAGGCGCATGCCAAGTCTTCTGGAGTATCTAAGTTACAACTGTAACTTCATGGGCATCCTGGCTGGACCACTGTGTTCTTACAAAGACTACATTACATTTATTGAAGGCAGATCATATCACATGGCACAATCAGGTGAAAATGGAAAAGAAGAAGTACAGTATGAAAAAACAGAGCCATCTCCAAATGTAAGATCATGAGAACCATGTGGAAACTATAGCATGTATTGGTTAGTCTTTCTTATGTAAATATAATAATGTTGTCAGATTTTGATTTATTCATAAATTCCTTTTAAACTAATTTTTGAGAAATGACTTTTGACATTGTACCAAGAGTACTGATGCCTAGTGAAAGTTATACTCATAATTTAGGAACAAAAGTAAAATTACTGAAGCAAAAATGTTTAGTGAGAATAATTTAAATCTTTAGTGAGAATAATTTTTTTTTATTTTTTTTATTAGTGAAACACCATGAGGTACAGTTGTAGATTTACAAATTTTTGTGCTTGGATCTCGGTCATACCACGATCAAATACCCATCCCTCCACCAGTGCCCATTTTCCACCACCAGAATAATATCCCTCCCCCCCCCCATCCTCCCATCCCCCCATCCCCCCCTGCCACTGTGGCAGGGCATTCCCTTTTGTTTTCTCTCTAGTGAGAATAATTTTTTATGGTTATAGTCTAATGTACATGAAAGCACTTCTCATGGACCTAATCAACTTTATTTCCCAGACCTTTTTTCTTACCTACACTTGTGGTGGCTGGAGCGATAGCACAGCGGGTAGGGCGTTCGCCTTACAAGCGGCCAACATGGCCGACCCGAGTTCGATTCCTCCGCCCCTCTCGGAGAGCCCGGCAAGCTACTGAGAGTATTCGATATGCCAGACACAGTAACAACAAAGTCTCCAATGGAGACGTTACTGGGCCCACTCGAGCAAATCGACGATCAATGGGAGGGCCTTTACCTTACCTTTACACTTGTGGTCCAACAAATGGAAAGCGCCCTTTTCCTTTCCTGCTTTCCTTCTCTTCGTGATCATCACCACTAAGATCTTATTCCTATTCAAGGCCTAGTTTAAATATCGCCTTTCTCATAAACCCTTCTCAAAGTCCCACACTTAAAACAATCTAGATAGCTGAAATTTAGGTGTCAGCTGCTGTTCTAGGTACTTTGAAAGTACCTGACACAGTTGCTCTCGATGCTCACAAAGGCCTTAGGAGTAGCTAGTGTATCCTTAACATTCAGTGGATGAGGAAACAGGACTCAGGCTAAAAAGTAATTGACCAATGTTTCTCAGATTTCAGTAGGGAAAATGGAATTCAGACCAGGCAGCACCCAGAGTTTGTGCCAAATTGTTTCATTTCCAGCCATAATCTATACTTTCTTTGAATGCCAGGATTCCTGAAACTGCTGAGATGATTTTTCATAAAGATTGGGAAACAATATAAGGGACTAGTATATGTTTTCTGAATATGGGGCTTAGAGTGAAGAATTGTCATTCTTTCCAAGTTACTGTCAAATGTAGAGAAAAAGAATAAATGTGTAGTCAGTCATACAAACTATTATCTCTTTTTTTCCTTTTGATTCGTATACCAAAAAGTTGCCCTTTCTCACACTTTTGATTACTGGTAAATATTAATTGAGATGTGCTATATCAAAATAGGTTAAATTTCAGGCTTGAAACTGGGTTTGTTGGGATCACATTCATTGATTAAGCTGTATCTGTCTTCAGGCTAGCCCTTTAATTCTTTGAGGTCTCACTGCCATGATAAAAAGAAGAGATGAGTACAGTATATGTTTTTCAGAAGTTTATTCTGGAATATTGGAAAGATAATTAAGATCCCGGAATCAAGAATTGGACTCTGATTATACAGTTGCAGTTTATAATTTTGCACATAACTTAAAGTAAATGGATCCCCCTTTACAAAAGGGAAGTATTAATGTCACTGGCACTTGGGGTGTTTGTTTCGTATTTGGCAGTTTTCATGTTGAATCAAGGCATTGCTGAGTTTGACCCAAAAAAAAACAAAAGAATTTTTAAAAAATATAAGAATTTCTTAAAATTCTTGGGACTGGAGCGATAGCACAGTGGGTAGGGCATTTGCCTTGCATGCGGCCAAACCCGGATTCAATTCCCAGTAACCCATATGGTCCCCTGAGCACCACCAGGAATGATTTCTGAGTTCAGAGCCAGGAGTGACCCCTGAGCATTGCCAGGTGTAACCCAAAAAGAAAAAAAAGAATTTCTTAAAATTCTTAAGGAATTTAGTGATCAACTTAATGACAAGGAATTTCCTTAGCTTTCTGTCTGAAAAAGTCTTTGTTCCAGCTTCAAGTATGAGTGATGACCTAGCAATGTAGAATATCCTTGGTTGGAGATATCCTAGAGCCTACAGAGTTTATGTTAAAAAAATTTTTGAAAAATCTGCTGGTAGTCTTAGTTTGGGAAAGTTTTAAGGTATTATTTCTTCAAATAAGAATCTCTCTCCTCTCTCCCTGCCTTGAATTACCTATGTTATGTTGTTCCTGTTGATCCTGTTCCATGTAGCTCCTATGTTATCTTTGTTGTTTTCTGTAATTTTGAATAGTTTCTACTGCTTTATCTTCAAGCCCACTGTCTCGACTTCTTTTGGTCTGCTGTTTCATTCTCCTATTTTTCTTTTTCATAAGCTTTGTTCTTTAACTCTGACTAGCATATGAATTTTTATCTAATATTCTCTCATACTGTCTCCTTTTTAAGTTATTTCCCATTGATCTGATTTCAGAAGTATGATTGCTTCTTCTTCAGGCAGCTTACATTGCTCTGATGTATTTCAGGGTAGTTGTAGTTCAAGATAGCAAGTACCCAAGGCATGTTTGCACCAGTTTTGGAACCAATTAGAAGTTCAAGGTTGCCGGTGCCCAGCAACCACCAGGCTGCCTCAGCCCACAGATATGTATCTGGGGAGCAAGTGCTCGGGTGGGTTCTAAGAGGATGCCAGGACCCCAGTCCCAGACAGTGACAGATCATGCACTCAGGTGGGTCAGGATCAGCTCTGGCTGGGCATGGGCAGCAAGGGAGCATAGCTGCCAGTGGGGATCTGTAGATTACTGAGTCTTCTTTGTAAAGTCTATTTGGTGCTTTCTGTCTGTAGGATATGGTTTGCTTGTTAACTGCCAGATGTAGATTCCCATGAGCTAGGTATTTTTCTGGTAGAAGAAGCACTCTTGACAACCATCTCCCTGCCCCAGCTATTTGCTAGAGGTGGGTGGGACTCTCATCAGAAATTTGCCTTCAGATTCTGTCATTATGGAGACTTTTTAGGATTGTAAGGAATGTGGGAAACCAGGGGTCAGATGTTTGGCACAACCCCCTCTTCCGTGCCCCGCTCCCCGAGTAAAGTTCCACAGCTTAGATGTCTCTTTCTGATAGCAGCTGATTGTTTCTTGGTGAGGGCTCCCAGTGAGCTCTCTGTCTCCAGTCATCTGCTGGCTTTTATCCCTTGTTATGAAAGATTTATTCGGCAGGGTTTCAGGTATGTTTCTGTGAAGATGAATGTTAGTTTTGGTATAGATTCAAAGTTTATAGATCACAGGAAGAGTTAATCATTAGTCCCCCTTGACTATCTTGGCCTCATTTTCTTTCCTTGAGAAAGTTTTAAAATCAGTTAGGAAATAAAGTTAGGAACAACTGCATTGAGGGTTCTTGATTTTTCAGGCCTTCTTGCCAAAAGCAACCAGAGTCGATCACAGCTGAGTCTTTCAGAAGTGCAGTGAATCTGGCACATGCCAAATCCTTGCCTTTGAGCCATTCTTGTTGCACTATTCTAGAAAGTGTTCTAATATTATTTCTTTGCAAAATACTTTGTTAATTTGATTTTTGCAGGATGGGAAGAGGGCTGCACAGCTACCAAGCACTGCTCAGAGCCTGGAGGCCACTTCCTGAGGTTCTCAGCCAACCAGTCTGGCATTTCAATTCCCTGTGCTTGGTTGGATGTGGTTCTGCTCTGGGCCTACGGTTCCAGGGATCACCTGGCTCATCCTGGCAGTGCTTGGAGACCTTCAGGGCTTCCAGGGCTATACCTAGGCCTTGCACAGTAGTGTCTAGGGGACCATGTGGTACCAGAGATTGAATTGGGGTGAACACATGCAACCCGTATAACTATCTGTTCAGCCCCCTTAATTATTTTTTGGTCACTAGACACTCTACCAGTATTTTGTCACACCCCTTCATCTGGATCTACTCTTTCTCTCTTCCACTTGCTTCATTTCCCTTTGCAACCTATAAATACCCCTTTAAATGAATTAGATTAAAATATTCTTGGCTATTAAAAAATATAAAAAAGAAATCTGAGTTGGGTTCTTTCAAGGTAACTTAACTTTACCAGGGTAATATAAAGAATAGTCTTTACTTTCCATCAGTCTCTTATGGAAATCTTTTGCTTTTCTCAGGTTTATAGTTCCTTTGATTTTTATCTAAAGAAAAGTGTAACTTCCTTATTATAAAAATAATATTTATGAAATTCCTAGAATTTAGAAAATACTTAAAAGAGCCTAATGGAGGAAACTATATATGTTCGTGTGTGTATAGAAACATAAAATCCAACTGCAAAGAGTTACCAATGTGCCTTTGGGAGTGCCTATTTACACTTATGCTCCAATGATGATATTTAGGTTTGGGGGGTGTGGGTTGTACCCTCACAGTGCTCAGGGACCTGGGTTCACTCCTGCTGTCTTTGTTCTGGACATGCGGTCCTGACCATTTGGTGCTCAGAGCAGCAGTGCTGTGCTGCACAGCCCTGAAGTGTGTCTTTCATTGTTTCTCTCCTTCTCTTTTGGGTTTCTACCAGCAGGTACTTAGGGAATTATGTGGTACTGGGAATTTAAACTTAGGGCCTTGCACAGTGAAGGGATTTTTTTTTATTTATAGAGAAAGTTATGAAAATGCAAATTTTGGCTTCTAGTGTCATCCTAAATCAAGAGGTAGGAGCTAGAGATAAAGCTCAAAGTTTTTGTACAGTGAGAAATTTAGGGCTGAAAAGACTGTGCACAATGTGTAAATAGGTATAAGGATCATTGCTCCATACAGGAAGATTTATTCAGCAGTGGCATGTAAAATGAGTTAAAAAGGAGGATGGATTCAGTTGATAAAGTCTTGTCTTAAATTTGCAGATTGCTGTTGTTCAGAAGCTCTTGGTCTGTGGACTTTCCTTATTATTTCACTTGACCATCTCTAAAACGTTACCTGTCGAGTACAACATTGATGAGCATTTTCAAGCTACAGCTTCATGGCCAACAAAGATTATCTATCTTTATGTCTCTCTTTTGGCTGCCAGACCTAAATACTATTTTGCATGGACATTAGGTAAGTAACATGTAAATTAACTTTCTGTTAGTGCATTCAAGTGTATCTTTCTTACAGGTAGCCAGGAGAGTGCCCTCTTGAGGCTGTATGATTAAATACAAGTTAAAAAATTAAGGCCATCTCTGCAAAGAATTTGACTATGCATATAAATAAGGGTTTAATCCTAAAACTACACCAATGGCTAATTGATAAAGTCCATGTTTATATATGGGATAAAATTAAGCAGGCCAATTATGTATTGAATGCCTATTCTATTTCTGATTCTTTGTCACTCAAAAGAGATGCAGAGAAACAATGAAAGACACTTCAGTTCCTGTGTGAACAAGTTCATCACCTCTACTTCCCACTGACTATTGTTTGAAAAAAATACATAGTTATGATTAATTTTCAAATTAGAGTTAAATATACCTGGACATTCAAGAATGTGTTTTTTTTAATCCAAGAATTCCAAAATGATTTATTTCATTTATGCATTTTGATTATAATTTTAAGAACAATATAAGTATGTAATGTATCAGGTATATAAGCATCTCAGTAATAAGTTTTTAATTACAGTTTCAGTAATACTATATGAATACCCAGATTATAGTATTTAAACATTTAATTCAGAGTTACTTAAATGAGAATTCGGAATTCGGGCTCCTAGATTTTCTTTTCTTTTTCTTTATTTTTTCCCCTTGGTTTTTGGGCATCTGGCTGTACATACCTGGCTGTACTCAGGACTTTATCCTGACTCTGTGCTCAGGGATCACTCCTGGTGGTGCATGGATGACCATATAGGGTACCAGGGATTGAACCCTGATTGACTGGGTACAAGGCAGGCACCCTACCCACTGAACTATCTCTCCATCCCCAGGTGCTAGATTTCCTTAACCTGTGACTCTTCCTGCTCTTCCTCATCTCTTAATTCTTTTTTTTAAAGTGATTTCTTGAAGCTAGGGAGAAAGCTAAGAGGACCGAGGCACCTGCTTTATCCGCTAGAGCCCCAAATATCATCTCTGGCACCACACCGTCCCCCAGGAACCACAAGCATTGCTGGTTATTGTCTAAATTTGTTTTCTAGGAATCTCAGAAAATTTTTCTCTTTAACTCAAGTTTGAAAGATAGTCTTAGTCCATGTTGAAACAGATTAAAGTAGATCTTAATGGTCAGGGTTTTTTTAAGTCACAAATTACTGGCACAGGGATTAGGGCACTTGCTTTTCATCCTCCTGTCCCTAGTTCAGATTTCCGGCACCACATAAGATCCTCCCAATACCTCAACAGTCACTGCTAGCATACAAGCCAGCAGTGGCCTCTGAATTACCATTAGGGGTGCCCCTCCCAAAAAAACATTCCAATCAAATCACGGATTACTTTATTCATCCCTACATTAATGAAAACTTGCAAGGTTTTTTAAGAATTAGAACATCTAACATTAGACTGGGTTTACACTGGGAGTTGGGGGTAAAGGGACATAGAGATAGATACCCAAGGTTGCATTTGCCATCTGTCCTTTCTTTGGGTCACTGTTGGCCAGGCCTTCAGTCACTCTTGTGAGATGAGAGGTTGGTAAGGAGTTGGGTTTGCTCTCAGATTATAGAAGGCCAAGAGAAATGAAGAATGTGGAAACAGCAGTGCTGGTGAGAAGCAGTGACCACAGGGAGGCAGGGGTTGTCCAACAGCCATTTGTATGCATGTGTAGCCCTTATTAGTTGTACTCTCAGTTTTTAATTATACTGAACATAAATGTTAGTATATTCATAGACTTCCCTTCAAGGTGCATACTTAGCCAGTGGCTATGATCTCATTAAAACTGATAGAAGAATAAATCTTGCTGTTTCTTTCTTCCCCCCGCCCCCACCTCAAGATACAGTTTTTAAAAATTTCATCTGACACATTAAAAACACCAGTATAATATTGGTGGTGGAAAATGTACACTGGTGAAGGGACGGGTGACGGTACATTATATGACTGAAACCCAATCCTAAACAACTTTGTAATGTGTGTCTCATGGTGATTCAATAAAAAAAAATAAATATTTTTAAGAAAAGAAAAAACAGCAGTACGAATGAAAATAATAAAGGATGCATTTCCATGCAGATTTTTCTGGATTTCAATTTTTTTCCCTTCTTGGTCATGAAACAACGTAGAATATATCCAGTTTTTTAGTTGATTAGAAGGGAACTCATTTTTGGCAGAAATTTCCTGTACAGCTTATAAAACAAAAAAATAATTGTTCACACATTGTGATGAAAAGGATTATGAAACAAATTTTGGAATGTATACATGAGAGGGTTCTGAGGAACTATTAAAGAAAATTAATTAAAGTACTAGCTTCAGTTATATAATCCTAGCTATAATAACCTCAAATACACTGTTTAAAAAGATACTATTCCAGGTTATCCCAGAAAGAACATCCCTTTTAGCAGATCCCTTTTAGCTGGGCACTCAGCTATAGTCCATCATTGAGGCATTTTGTTTTTTTGGTTTTTTGTTTGTTTGTTTGTTTGTTTGTTTTTTATGTAGGAGTACTGCTATTTATTCAGCCATTGATTAGCTGATTGAATTGGGCATGAAGCTCACATTGAGGCATTTTGATACGAAATTAATTTTCTTATATTAAGTCCAGCTTTAGTTTACTGGTTCTAAGAAACTTTTTAAATCCACCTGCCCTCAACTCATGCTTATTGCCTGGATTTTGTTAATTAACCTAATTGTCCTTAGTGGCATAATTCTTTTCATTATATATAATTATGTTTATGACCTCTTATGAAGCATAGTATATAGTACATACCTACTGGAGAACATAGAAGATTGTTACATAAAAGATTATACACAGAAGTCTTAATACATTTTTTCACTTTATTTACTCCAGCGGATGCTATTAATAATGCTGCAGGCTTTGGTTTCAGAGGATATGACAAAAATGGAGTAGCTCATTGGGATTTAATTTCCAATCTGAGAATTCAGCAAATAGAGGTGAGTAATCTATTATTTACCACATGATTTAAGTACCATAATTAAGGGCTTTCATAGTTTATGATATATTGTAAGTTATGTACCAGAGTTGCATTGGACAATTTTTAATAATACTCATTTGTTTTTCATTTAGCCCCTATCAGTTTGCAAAGATGTTCACTGCACATTGGGTACCCAGAGAATGAGGACATACAACCTGAGTACTCGTGGAGCTTTCTTTAATTTCGTGTGGTATCTGAGGAGGCAGATTTTGATCAGAGCTGTAGAGTGTGTATATTTGTAAAGGAGGAATTCAACATAATGTGGATGGAAAGAAAGGAATTCTGGAAGAAAGACACTCTTACGCTGAACCCAAGAGAATCAGTATGAGCTAGACCTAGTAGGAAGAGCAGCCTGAGGGAGTAAGGGTACGTGAAAGTGGTGATGATGGGCCCGAAGAAATAGAGGCCCAGGGGCCAGACAGTTAGTACAGGGCTTAAAGCAAGCGGTTAACTCATCCGTGGTCCTAGAGGCCATCTTAATTTCTGAACTTTTATATAAGAAAAATAGGGCCCTGTGGATAGGTAATACATGGCAGGTGGACTCCTCATTTGTGAGCTTAAGAAAGAACCAGCTGCTTGAGGTAGAAAGACGTTACCTTTGTACAACATTGATGTATTGGAAAGGTGCTCACCTTAATTTCACGTTGTCACCAAACCCAGAGTAATGACTGTGGGACTGGAGAAAAACATCCAAGAGAGCTGTTTGAGACACTTAGTTGAACTTGGTTAAATACTGGAATGAGCAAAAGAGCAAGTCATACCCATATGTCAGATTTAACATATGGACACCAGTACATAGCACCAGTGGCTCATGTTGGATGTCCCACAGGCAGATGCATCAACCACCAGCTCGCATTTGGTGTTACATCAGACAAACAGTAGCACTAAGTCTCTACAGAAGTTTGTTCAATTGATTTTACAAATAGAAAAGGCTGCCATATAGTTGAAAATTAATTTACTTACTGACAATTTCAAAGTTTTAATTTGTATTTAAGAAAGAAGGTAGAGCATTTATTTTAATAAGGCCTTCAGATGGTAAAAAACACAAATTGTAGTGTTGGCCTTTCATGTTAAACATCTAGCTCATGGCAATACTTTTCACTGAGATATGGAACAGAGAATGGTGCTGGTCTGTAGGGAAAGAAAATGTGTACCATTTCAGGTTTTGCTGAATTGTTTAGCAAGCAGATGTAAAGGTAAAAGCTAAAGGTAAAGGCCCTCCCGTTGATCGTCGATTTGCTCGAGCGGGCCCAGTAACGTCTCCATTGGAGACTTTGTTGTTACTGTGTCTGGCGTATCGAATACGTCACGGGGAGCTTGCCAGGCTCTGCCGTGCGGGCGAGATACTCTCGGTAGCTTGCCTGGCTCTCCGAGAGGGGCGGAGGAATCCAACTCGGGTCGGCCATGTTGGCCACTTGTAAGGCGAACGCCCTACCGCTGTGCTATTGCTCCAGCCCGAGCAAGCAGATGAGTGGTAGTTATTCCAGACATCTGAGTTTGAGGTTGTAATTTGGGAAATATCAGAATTAGACCACTGAGCAAGTGAGCCCCATGAGCAGCACTAATGCTCAGGAGCAGCCATAGAAAGAAATAGAAAACCAAAGGTCCACGTGTCTGTAGAAGCCTGTGGAAAGGAATACCCCAGTCCTAGGAATTACCTAAATTTAGAGGAAATGTTGGCCAGCAGCCTTATAATAAATAAAACTGGAGATGCAGATGCCAGGTAGAGAGATTATAAGAAGACCTATTTTTATTATGGAGACAGAAAAGAGCAAAGGAATAAGTAAGGATGCAGTTGAGTTTGTAGTTTCAGTAGTAATAATTTGGAGTCTAATGCTCAATACTATCTCAATAACACAGGAGGCCAAGTTGCTGCTTATGAAGGAAGGAGGATGTTGTTAAGCCAAAAATACTAAGTGAGGAATTTTTTGAAGTATTAGGTTTGCCCTTATGAAGTTTCTGATCGTTATCTATTTTTGATATACAAAAAAAATTAAGGATAATTCTAATGGATGTTACATCCAGTATCATCCCTGGAGAACTAGCTGTTTAGAGAATAAAGCATTACTGGTGGGTTGAGAAGCATGGAATTTATGACAAAAGTCTTGATTGTTATAAGGTATCTGTGCTCAGTGTTTAGATGTTACAAGTAGGAAAGTTGGGTTGTGTGTTTGATATGGATTTTGACAGGCAAATTCAGAGGAAAATGAAACTAGATTATGAAAGATTTTTTTTCATTTTTTATAATCTTATTTATTGAATCACCGTGAGAGCAGTTACAAAGCTTTTGGGTCTAAGTCTCGGTCATACAAAGAAACACCATACCTTCACCAGTGCCCATTCTCCACCCCCAACAACCCCAGTATACCCTCCCCCTACCTGTGGGGCAGATGATTTCCACATTACTCTCTCTCTACTTTGATCACATTCAATATTTTGACACCAGACCCACCATTATTTTATTTGAGATTTTACCCCAACACTCAGATCTGCTAAAAAGGCAACAGTATGAAAGATTTTAATGAGAATAATAAGTAATAGAACCATAGAATCAACAACGAAAAGAACAAGTTACGTAGGGAAGTAGTAGAGATCAGGTGATCAGAGGTTTTGCGGTTAAAGGATTGTTTTTGTGGCAGAAACTTGAGTGAAGAGATGGGAAAGAAATAAAACATTAGATGTATTCAACCTGGAGTAGCAGTTCCAGGAGAGGGAACAAGACTCAGGAAGAGGCAGCTAGGAAGGTAAGAAGTGAATGAAGGGAGAATCCTGAGAGACTGCAGCTTCAGTGGTTGTGGCTGTGTAGTTCTTGAGACATTGAAAGGCCCTGTAAGATTATTTACATACTCTATGCAGTTTCCTTGTAATGATTCCATTACATCTCCCATAAATGTTAACATATAGGAGAAAAAAGTGGCATTCTACATTCCCTGAAATAAACAATTCCTTTAAAACTATATTAGGGGCTGGAGCAATAATGCAGCAAGTAGGGCATTTGCTTTGCAGGTGACTGAACCCAGGTTTAATCCCTGGCATCCCATATGGTCCCCCGAGCACCACCAGAAGTGATTCCTGAGTACAAAGCCAGGAGTAACCCCTGAGGATCACTGGGTGTAGCCCAAAAAGCCACAAAAAGTACCCCACTGTAATATTAATGAATTTTTTTTATTTTTAAAAAACAACATTAAGGATAGTAGAATGCTACTATCATTGTCAATCTATTTTAGCATGACAAAGCTTTATTATTTAGACTTAAAACTTCTCTATTTGTGGGTCCCAAACTCTATTTCCTTATTTTTCAGATGTCAACAAGTTTCAAGATGTTTCTTGATAATTGGAACATTCAGACAGCTCTCTGGCTCAAAAGGTATGCTCCTTCAAGAATATTCTGTAGCTGTACTTTGGCATATAATCCTTAAAACTGAGCTTCAGTGAGTCCACATTCCTGGTTAAATTGCAGTATGTTGAGTGAGTGGTGAGCAAGCTGACTTGTGACCTTGGTGTTGACTGGGAAACACTGTTTCAAAACAGTCAGGCACTGTCAGACCTGAGAACTGTTTGACTTGACTCTGACTTTAGCTGTCAGCCACCTCTCTGCCTGGCTGTTAAGGCATTTACCAAGTTTTGAAACCATTTTGAGACCAGCGACCTGCTCTTATTCATCAGAGTTTTGTTTCTTTTACAATGATTGTATAACCACTAAATATGCCTTGGATTTTCCAGAACAGCTCTAGTTTAAAAATATTTCAATTCAACTGATCATTATAGATTAGTCACTGAATACAGTGATGAATAAGACAAAAAATTCCTAGTGTCTGCAGCCAGAGTCTTATTCACCATCCTTTTAAAAGGCTGCAAAGTGGTCTGACTTGTGCTTTTCTCTTGTGTGGTAAAGGATACAAATGCTCAAGTAGGGACTGGGGAGATAATTCAAAGGGCCAGAGCTCAAGCAGGAAGTCTGGATTCTGTTCTTAGTGTTGCAGGGTCCACTGAGACACCTCGAGAACAATTTCCGAGCATGAGCCAGGAGTCACCCCTAAGCACCGTCATGTATGGCACCAGTGCCCTAAAAAGCAAACAAAACAAACAAAAGATAGAAAAATATTGAGCAGGAAACTTGTGGGCACAAAGTGGAAAGAGTTACTTGCACTGAGATGTATGAATATGGGTTTGGCAAATGGACATGGGAAGGTGAATGGTGAATGGACAATAACAATATAACAATTGTAAAAGAAAAAAGTGAGGTAATTGCACAGAAATTTTTAGTGGGTGTGTCTCATTCCCAATGGAACATGGTGCCCTATCTTGAATTCTCTTAATTCTCTATATCTTAAAACTGTCACTGTCACTGTCCTCCCGTTGTTCATCGATTTTCTCGAGTGGGCCCAGTAACGTCTCCATCGTGAGACTTTGTTGTTACTGTGTTTGGCATATTGAATACGTCATGGTTAGCTTGCCAGGCTTTGCCGTGCGGGCGAGATGCTCTCGGTAGCTTGCTGGGCTCTCCGAGAGGGGCGGAGGAATCGAACTCGGGTCGGCCATGTTGGCTGCTTGCAAGGCAAACGCCCTACCCACTGTGCTATCGCATCAGCCCCATATCTTAAAACATAAAAACAAAATTCTTTATTGCTTACTTTTTTATCTGGTTGGAGTATATCCAGGGCTACTCCCAGCTCTGTACTGGTGTTGCTCCTGGCAGTGCAAGGGATCAAACTAGAGCCTCCTGCATGCAGGGCAAGAACCTTAACCCCTGTAACTATCCCTGTCACTCAAAACAAGACTAAGCACGTCTACTTGTCAGACAAAATAGTGTTACTAGATCACACGAAAATTGTTATTGTTATTGAAGAAAATAAAACAATGCAAATTAAAAATAATTGAGGAGGGGAGAAATGATAATGCAGCACATAAGTCACTTGCCTTGCATGCATCGAACCTGAGTTTGATCCACGGCACTGTTTATGATTCCCATTCACTACTAGGAATGATCCTTGAGCATAGAGCCAGCAGTGAACCCTGAGCACAGCCAAGTGTAGCCCCATAACAAACAAACAATCTATAATATTAAAATATCTTTGTAACAATATATATTTATAAACAGTAGAAATGATCGTTTTAATTCATATAGTAAAAAGATGGGCAGTACATTTATTTTCATAAATTTGACACTTATTTATAATATTCTTCCTCAGATCATAGATCGTTACTGCCTAAAATAATTTTCAGTTGTTTTTCTGGGTACTCTAAATATTTCTGGGTAATAAGGCATGGTTATTAGGGTTTTTGTGTACTCTAACCACTCTTATTTGCTCTCTGTTTTGTTTGGTTTCTAGGGTATGCTACGAACGAGCCTCCTTGAGTCCAACTATACAGACATTTATTCTCTCTGCCATCTGGCATGGAGTCTATCCAGGATATTATCTGACATTTCTGACAGGAGTAGTAATGACATTAGCAGCTCGAGCGGTGAGTATCAAGAATTTCATTGTATACTTTAGTGGTAGTCTACCTGAGTGGGCCCGAGTAAATCCTTTCCCATGCAGACCCTACTCCTTTGGCTCTACTCTGGTTGGAAGTGATGCTCCTTTGTGGCTTGTTTGTTGACTGCTCCGTATGGAGTTTTATACTTGGTGCACCCGAGAAGAACTTACACCCACAAAGTATTGTTATTACAGATTTTTTTAAGGAGTCCTAAAAAATGACTTAAAAACATATTTTGTGCCTTTGAGAAGTAGGCTGGTGACACAATTGGAAAATGATGGACAATTTAGTGTTAGTCCTTGAAAGTCAATTAGAGGAAAGTGAGACTTAAAAAACAAACAAACAATATTGAATAAGCTTATTAGGCACTAACAGAAAAGATGCCAACAATCAAATACTGAGTAAAGTTATCCTGTGGAGAATATATAAGGGGAATATTGAGAAGTATTAGTTAAGGGCTCTATCTTCCTGGTGGTTTATAAGTAGATTACAAACCACTAACCACCAGAAGATAATAGCATATGTGTGTTACATGCACAAGCTCTCCACAAGGCATATACAATAGACTGCATAGTTTTATTAAAAGACAGGACATTAGGAATAGTAAAGAAATCCCTTTTGGAGACCAGAGATATTTTTCCTCATTTGGAAAATGTGGTTGGATCTAGATTTTGAAAGATGAAAGTTATTTTAGTAGAGGGTAGTGTGCAGTAATAAGGATAGAAAATTTATTCTAAGCATGAAAGTTACAGTAGCAAAGTCAAGTATGAAAGAATCTGGTGTCTTTGGGAAAGACAGGTAAATCTGCTGATGTAGAAACCTCATGTATGCATCAATAGTGAATTATTCTGGAAAGACAGAAATGGGAATTACAGAGGAACTTGGACGTCAAACTGAGTAAAAGCCTACTCCTTCTATCTGCAAAGTTTCTAAGAATGGGACTGAAGTGCTAAAATGCCGTAACTCAGGAAAATTGATTGGTGTTGGTGGACAGAGTGGGTTAGAGCAGATCGCTGCTGGAGCATGATCAGACAAGAAATGGTCAGTGACAGGTGCTGGCCACTTAGAGTGATGGTCTTCGTGTACAACACTGTGAATCAAACATAAAGCACTTCTGAAATATCAACTTGGCTTTTATGCTCTATGGGGTAGTTTTCACCTAGAAACATATTAGACCAGAAAAGTGAAGAAAAAGGGGCCATTCAAGTATAAAATAACTATTTTTCTTTTGTAAGTGCAGAGTTTTAAGAAGTAAGGATGTCTTCATAGTATTAGAAAAAATTGAATATAGATTGAATTTTATGTACTGTAGCACTGTCCTCCCGTTCTCCTTCGATTTGCTCGAGCAGGCACCGGTAACATCACCATTGTGAGACTTGTTGCTACTGTATTTGGCATATCAAATACACCACGAGGAGCTTGCCAGGCTCTGCTGTGCAGGAAGACACTCTGGGTAGCTTGCCGGGCTTTCCGAGAGGACAGAGGAATCGAATCCGGGTTGGCCACAAGCAAGGCAAACACCCTACCCGCTATGCTATCACTTCAGCCCTTATGTACCATACTTATGTGCCTTGTATACCATACTAAATATTATTTAAGGAATTCTGTATAGCATTTTGAGGGTGTTACTTTTCATTAAATGAAACTTTAAATCTATCAAAACATTGTAAAGAAGTCTTTTCATGCCCTTTACTCGGATTCACACACTTTGCCTCTGTGCTTTATTATCCTCTCACTATGTTTTTATACATGTATTTTTTTAGTTTTCCCGTATTCTACAAGCTTTTACTTCCCCATATCCTACAAGTTTTAAATTACTACAAGCAGTGAGTTTCACCTATTTCTCATTGTTGAACTAGTTGAAATAGTCATTGTACTTTTATAAGCAGTGTTAAACCACATATTTTTGTTTCTTTCAGATGCGAAATAACTTTAGACATTATTTCATTGAACCTCCCCAACTTAAATTATTATATGATGTTATAACATGGATAATAACTCAAATAGCAATAAGTTACACAGTTGTGCCATTTGTCCTTCTTTCTATAAAACCATCGTTCACGTTTTACAGGTGAGTATAAAAAACATGCTAATGGGAATAACTATCTTACAAAGGAAGCTCTTTGTTATTGGTAGAATAGAAAAATAGTGTCATAGCATCATTTCCTGAAATTAAACACTTATCACTTTCTTTTTAATGTTAAACCAAGAAGCCTCAAGATTCTTTGTGAACTTATTCATATTGCTCAACCCACAAGTGAGATTATGATTTAGATGAGCATCAGCTCAGTGAACACTACTCAAATCTCTCAAAGGTTTGACTGGAAAATGTAGCTATTCTTTCAACACTTCGGCTTTGTTCTGTTTGGGGGCTGCACCAGGGCTTACTCCTGGCTCTGCGCTCAGGGATCATTTTTGGTGGGCTCTGGGAACTATATGGGATGCCAGAGAATAAACCCAGGTCCTATTCGCTGTACTATTGCTCTGGCCCCTCAATACTTGGGTGTTAACTAGACTTACAGTTTTACAGTATTATATACATCTACCATTATGCTGTATTTCTAAAACTAATAAATGATGTGTCAGTTCAAGAAAGCAGGCATCAGGCTCAGTTTGGCTCCCTAAGCAGTTTATTTCTCATTTTCTGATTTCATGGTAATAGAAGTTGATGTGTTAAAGCAGAGGCTGAATCACTGAGGATATTTTGGGGAGGGGGAATAAAGTAGTTATCCTAATAATCACAAGCAACTATATGTTTTATAGTTACCTATGTCAAGTTCAGGCTATCATACTGCTAACTCTGAAATAAAGAAGAAAACTTTAAATAAGATAATCAATAAAGAATATGATAAAGCAGAAAATAATTTTTTCAAAGAGAGGCAGTCATTGTCTGATCAAAAGAAAATGAATGGTTTAAATGTTGTTTCTATCCTTTTATGTTTTATAGATACTGTGTTACGTCAATACAGAAATTTTTATCTTGAATCTCATACTTTTGCTTATTTGCATTTTTTCTACCCACCACCAAATCCACTCCCCTGTTATATATAGAAAGTAGTTTCTTTTTACTTTGAAGTAAATTTCTTTTTACTTTGAAGTAAGTTTCTTTTTGCTTTGAAGTAAAATGACAGCATAACATATAAAATGACAACATAGAATATTTGGTAAAAATATTGTTGAATATGATGGCAATTATTCAGGGTGATATTAAATAACTCTTGCTAAAATTTTCAAACAAAAACAAACAAACGAACACTGTCCTCCCGTTGTTCATCGATTTGCTCAAGCAGGCCCAGTAATGTCTCCATTTTGAGACTTGTTGTTACTGTGTTTGGCATATTGAATATGTCACGGGGAGCTTGCCAGGCTTTGCCGTGCGGGCGAGATACTCTCGTTAGCTAGACGGGTTCTCTGAGAGGGGCGGAGGAATCGAACCCAGCTCGGCCAGGCTGGCTGCGCGCAAGGCAAACACCCTACCGCTGTGCTATCGCTCCAGCCCTAAAATTTTCATTAATATAAGTATTCCAGATTTGGGGGCAGGAGAGATAATACAGTGGGCATGGTACAGGCCTTGCATGTGTCCAATCAGTTCAATCCCCAGTACCCTCCGCCCCTCTCTGAGCACCAGCAGAAGTGATCCCTGATCACAGACTCAGGAGTAATCCCTGAACACCACTGGGTGTGGTTCCCCCAATAAATAAATCCAGACTTTTTAATGTCTAAACTTTGGTTTGATTTTTACATCTGAACTACTTTATTTATAGTCATTTGAACTTTTAGCAGTGTAGATCACATTTGGTTTCTGCTTAATATGGGAAATTGTATTTCTACTAATAGTTTTAATAATGTGACCCTTCTTTAAGTCTGTCATCAAGAAGCAGTATTTCTTACTGGTTACTCATTCATTAGAATAGCTATAATGTGCTGAGAGATAGTAACCAATACGGGAGGATGCTTGACTGGCTGTCCTCGGTAGCCCTCCTTTTTGTGGGGACAGGGGTATTTAGGGATTAAACCAGGTCTTCATTCATTCGAGGCAAGCAATCTTCCACTTAATCCTGCATTTTTGCATTACTCAATATTGGATTGTGTAGATTTAAAATATTATTTTTTACAGTTGTACAACTCCTAGGAAGTATCTTTTTGTTTTTGTTCTATTTAGCTATGGCTAGATGACACAAGAAAATATAAAATCTACTATCACGGTCCTCCCGTTGTTCATCGATTTGCTCAAGCGGGCCAGTAACGTCTCCATCATGAGACTTGTTGTTACTGTGTTTGACATATCGAATACATCATGGGTAGCTTGCCAAGCTTGTGCGGGCGAGATACTCTTGGTAGCTTGCCGGGCTCTCCGAGAGGGGCAGAGGAATCGAACTCGGGTCGGCCATGTTGGCCGCTTGTAAGGCAAACTCCCTACCGCTGTGCTAGTATCACAGGTAATATACAGAATGAACTTATGATAGCATGATTTCTATGAAATGATAACTGGAACTCATGACTGAAAGAACCAAGCAAGTGATAAGAAAGTGCAGGAGTAATTTGGTTAATCATGCAATAGCACAGCAGGTAGGGCATCTGCCTTGCACGCAGCCAACATGGCCGACCCGAGTTCGATTCTTCCGCCCCTCTCAGAGAGCCCGGCAAGCTCCCGAGAGTATCTCGCCCGCACAAGCCTGGCAAGCTCCCCGTGATGTATTCGATATGCCAAACACAGTAACAACAAAGTCTCCAATGGAGACGTTACTGGACCCGTTCGAGCAAATTGATGAACAACGGGAGGACAGTGACAGTGACAGTAATCTGGTATCATACTTATAAGCACTTGGGTTACAGTGTTTTATGCCCACATGTCTAGTTTACACAGCATTTAGTGGAGAATGGGATGTAAAAGATTACTATAGCAAATAAACATCCAGGGAGGTGGGTGACATTAGACAGGTGAGTTATTAAGCATCGATAATCATCAAATTTTAATAAACTTTATTTTTTCTTTCAGCTCCTGGTATTTCTGCCTTCATGTTGTTGGTATTTTAGTATTATTATTGTTGCCAGTGAAAAAATCTCAAAGACAAAAGAATATACACGAAAATGAAAATGTGCAGCTGTCACGATCAAAAAAGTTTGATGAAAGAGAAAAGTCTTTGGGACACAATAGTTTTTCTACAACAAACAATGTTTTCAATCAGAATCAAGAAAGAGCCTCTAGACATTCACCTTTAAAGCAATGATGGAAAAACGCTTTGATGGCTATAATTTGTATGTTAACAGGAACCAATCTTAGCACCTTTTCAAGGGGTTTGTGTTTGTTTGAAAAGAAAGTGGGGGTGAAATCAGACAGTTATAGATGGGGAATTTCCTGTATATCTGATAGGAAATGGAATGAAATAATCCTTCCCAAACCATGTCCCTGTGGGCCATGCCTTATATAAAATATCTCCATTAATTCAAATGGGCACTCAGGACCTCAACATATGTCCATAGGGTCATATGTGTGCCCTGTTGTTGAATGTATGTTGCGTATCCCAAGGCACGGAAGAAGAGGAAATGGAAACGCAATTGTGTCAATCTGGATGATTGAGAGATTAACTTTTCCAACTGAATGTCTTGCCTTAAATCTCCAGCTTCCTAAAAATTGTTCTGAAATGGTATTTTCAAGTGTAACATTGTGAGAACACTTTTTCAATGTTAGATGTATGTTATGAAGGAATTTTGGAGGAATTTGAAAAGGCTCTTATAAGATTGTGGATACTTTAAAAATGCAATAAATTTCTCAGTATTCGGAGGGGTTTCTCAAGGTATCTAAGATGAACATAGTATGCCGTGAAACTGTAAACAGTAACGGATGCCAAATTATAAGGTAGCTTGTTTCCTTGAAGAGTCAAATTGCTTGTGTCAGTAAAAGAACCCTTCAAGGACGAATTTCTTAAACATGATTAAAGGTTGGTAATGGGAATTCTCAGCTTATTTTCTTAAAAAGGGGAGTTATGATGAAGGAAGGCATGAATGAAGGAAGCACCACAGGGACAGAGCTAGACTGAGGGGTGACTGGCACTAGGCCCGGTGTGCAGGCCCAGGCACCCAGCACAAGTATGCTTCTTGCCCTCATTTTTCTGTAGTCTTTGTGATTATGTAAGAAATGAACTTTTTTTTTTTGTCTCAGAAGATATAGTAACTTACAACTTTTGACTTTTTCAGTGAGATTTTTTCAAGCCTAAATTGTATAGACTTTTAAAATAGTTATGAAAAAATAGTGGTAGATTGAGACAACCACTAATGTTACTGTGTGGCTTAATTCCTTTCTTATCCTTGATATTCTCCATGATATTTGGGCAAGTTTTAGAGAAATGAAGAAGAGTTCACTGGGTTCGTCCACATTTTTTGAGAATAATATAAATTATTTTATAAACTCTTAAGTTCTCACATTGTTTTACTGTTCACTTTTGTTAGTGGGTATTCAATACTCTAAGTAAAAAAAATGTATTTTTTTTTTTTACGGGCCACTTTTTTCCATATTAATCTTGCCCTGAGTTCCTGGGCATCTCCTTTGATCCCACAGAACTGTGCGGTGACAGGCAGTAAGAGCAGAAGAGTGGGCGGGAGCCCAGCCTGCCCCAGGGCCCAAGCCCCAGAGAACGTCAGGGCGGTGATAAGCTAATCCTGGACACTGATCAGAATCACAGCTGCAAGAGAGGCAGGCAGGGCCGCTGGGAAGCTTTAGTAGAATTTATTTTCCTGTTTTCCCTTTTTTTTTTTTGGCTTTAAGTTATTTTACCGAAGAGCTAAATTATTTATGTCTCTTCTTTATAGACTCCAGGTTCTTTGCTCTCAAAAACTTGAAAAATAGAAATATACGGTTAGACCTCTTTTTCTTTTTTTTTTTTTTAAATTGTGGCACCATGGTTGACACTGCCTCTAATGGAAGGGTTTCGTGCATATAGAGGTCCAACACCACACACTCCATCTGAACACCTGCTTCTATCTACCTTTGTCTCAGAACACAACCCTTTTCGCCCCCACCCCCCCAGGTTCAGTTCTATAGACTGTTCTGTTGTATAACTTTCAACTGTTATTCCCTCTTATGTTTCTTTATGTGTTACAAAGGAGAGGACATTCTGTGTGAGGGATCAGAACTCTCTTTCCCAGTTTTTTGAGGAAGGCGCTTATGCCTTAGCACAAAGTTTGCCTGGACAAAGCCTTGTGCTATTTTCCTAAGTGTATTTATGACACCAGAGACAGATGAAATTAGAGACCATGTTTTGGTCCCTCCCTCCCTCTGTGCTAAAGGCTAACATAGATGGTATTTGAGCTGTTAGGAACAAGGAAATAGAATGTTTATCAGAAAAGAGACAGAAGATGACCAAACTAACCCAGCTAATACCAAAATGGGTCTTTGAGTTGATCCTTTCCTAGTTTCCTTGTTTTAACATTAAAACTCTGACCAGGGATAAGGGGCTCCATATGTCGAAGCCTGAAGACAGATACATGTTCTGTTCATTGTACCCTTGCATCCCATTTCTGAATCTTGCTGAACACAGAACAATCTGTGTTCTGGGAGCCAGCCAGGACCCCCTGCCTGCCTTCTTGAGGTGAGGCACAAGCCCTTCCCCTGCAGTAATTTGAGAATTGCAAGTTCTGGCCTCTTGTAAATGTCTAGTTTTTGAGAGCCAATGAACCTGACGTCTGTAGCATCTTTTAATTTTTGACATTTAATAAATTTTCAAATCAAGCTAAAGACTGAACTATTATCTGACTCAACAGAGCATTTTATTTAAAGAAGAAAGCAAAAGCAAGTGTACTTAGGGCTTTTGAGGTCTCAATTAGCAGAAAGTATTAGTACCTTTTTAAAACTTCAGCATCCTACTCTTTGTTTATATAAATTATTTTCCTAAAGGTAAATGTTTCCACCTGTTCCACCTTAATCGTGCTCTCTTCCTTCCCAGATAAACAGATAACTGAATAAAGTTCTCTATTCCATCGCCCACCCCACTCCCAGCCTGCACTGAAATTATTCTAGTGGTGTAATATGAGAAGATAGAAAACCATAATCCTGAAAAGTATCTGTTACTTAGTGTCTCCTCAGCGTCTTATTAAAACCAAAGAGAATCTGACCGCTCTTAAGGAATTAAACTTGGAAATTAAAAGACAAGCATAGGCCTGCCATAAATGAAAAGAGAAAAAAGCTTAATAAAAACTTCTTGTTCAGTCTATCTAGACACTTTACAGATACTCACCACTTATTTGTATTACTTGACTGCATTTTTTTTTTTGGCCTCTAAACGTACATCACTTTACCTGTTAGATGCTCATTGAGTTTCATCATGGCCCGAAAATAAGATAATTGATAAATTTCCTATTACTTTGAAGACAATGACATTAACTGTCTTATTTTAATCCCTATGGATCAACTAGTATTGTATAAAATGATTTTTGATAGTTTTTTTCTGAACTTTGGTAAAATAATCATGAAATAGTGTGAAATCTAGAAGAAAAACCAAGAAATAATTTTAATTCTCAACATGACTTTTCAAGAAATTTTTTTGGCTATATCAAATAAATGTATCTGTGTGGAATGTTGTAAGGAATCATACTTTACATCTACTCAGAAGAATTGAAAATGGTATATCTCTACTACTTTGAAGTGAAAAGAAATTCATTGTAATATGACCTTTTTTAATCAACAGAATAGGATTCTGTGCATTCTTCTCTGCATTTCATTTGTCATAAAATCACTCCAGAGATAATCAATCGATGTCATATTTATATTTTCTTGTTAATTATGTACTTCTCAGGGAAAAAGTGAACAAAAATAATTATTCCCTAAATTTTATTTCTTTAAATAGTAACTTTAATTTAATATATTCTGTCACCATTTCACAAGTGGCCCATTCTTAGTCTTTAAAATAAGCATTTTTATTGGAACTCAGGGTGATTGGGAAAATTTAGTTTCTAAAATGGTCCAGTAGTAAAGGTTTAATTGGCTTTAAAAAGATCCACCCCTACCACAGTACATTTGATTTGATAGTAATTTTGATATTGATCCCCACCGTGTAAGACACTCACCAGATTACCACAGGTAGCCCTGTAGCACTGTAGCACTGTCCTCCTGTTGTTCATCAATTTACTCTAGAGGGCCCAGTAACATCTCCATTGTGAGACTTGTTACTGTGTTTGGCATATCAAATATGTCACGGGTAGCTTGCCAGGCTTTGCCATGCGGGCGAGATACTCTCAGTAGCTTGCTGGGCTCTCCGAGAGGGGCGGAGGAATCAAACCCGGGTCGGCTGGACCGGCCGTGTGCAAGGCAAATGCCCTACCGCTGTGCAGTTTAAGAAAAAAAATGCAAAAAAAGAATGGGTCTAAAAAGTGAAGGTAACTTCCATGAAAGCACTGGCTATCCTGGGAAGAGCCCTGGGTTATCACCTGCCTTGATGTTTAAAGAGCCTTAAGAGTGGGGCAGAGCCTTAGTAAGCAAGAGGGTCAGTCCTGAAAATGTATGACCAGTCAGTCGTGTCTGTAAGGAATGGAAGCCGTTATCAGAATTCATAGGAGTCTGAGACACAGTCTCTTTAATTACTTAAGTGTAAAACCCCAGCACCTCAAAAAAGGCTGTTGACAGCAGAGGAACCCTTTGGACCTATTACATCAGAAGTGTGGCAGCTTTCCCATGTCTTTCAGTCCGGCCTTTTAAAGCTTTTAAAGGAGTCTTTCATAATGAAATCATTCCATTGAAGAAAACCTATTTTTCTTCGGTTTGTTTGTTTTTTGTTTTTGCTTTTTGATTTCTGTTTGTGCTATAAAATTGAAGTAGATCTATGAAAGTAGATCTGTACTAAGAAATACTTTAAACAAGTTACCAACTTTTCAAAAGGATAGGGTTTACTGCCATATAACTTCACAAAAATTATTTCATTTCAAGATACTTAAAATGTGTTTAATTTAGTTGCACCTTATTTTAATTTACAGGGAAAATTACAAAACTTTGCCATTAAAATAATAAAATGTATGCTATTTTAATTAAAGGACTAAATTAACTTAGGATAAAAGTTTTATTTAAAACTTATAACTTGTAAATATTTAATTTATATATTCATGAACAACTGTGGACATCTATGCTTTTTTCTTATAAACTTCAAAAGAGTATTAGTTAATTGGTTTTAAGAGTTCTACATTATAATTGAAAGAAAACTTACTTAAGAGAATAATTTTTCTAGAATGATGTCTCTTTATGCTGTGACTGCAAAAATTTGTCCTGCATTTTAGATATAAACCAACACTGTATAAAGTTTTCTTCAGCCACTAATAGTCCATCTAGCTGAAATTGAATACATCAGATTTAACACAAGTGCAGAATTTTACACACTGTGAAATGTAATCTTAACTGTCCTGAGTACATTATGAAGCTGTTACATTTAATAAGTGGCTGATCATTTATCCATTTAGCTTAGATGGAAGCTCTTCATCCTACAACCCTTATTAAAGTGGGTTTGTATCAGTTCTTGCTCCTAGTGCAAAAGAAGTTTGCATTTTTTAAAGCTCCAGTCTGAAATTTGGAAGTGAAAGATTCAGAAGATTGGAGGGTCTCCCCAGTTGTTTTCTGCAGTGTCATGTACTCAAATCTATATTCATGACAAAAGAAATTTAGAAATTTTCCATGTTCAGATTTTGTAGGAATGCTCTTATAATCAATGACTATGCTGCTTTTTTGAGACTTTTATTGTGTACAGAGGATGCAGCCAATCACATTTGAAATTAGTGAGCTGCACAATAATGTTTTTATATATTTTAAAATAGTATTTATTTTCAAGTTTTTTTTAACATTATGCAACCCCCAGGAAATAACTGACAAGCTCTGTAGGTAGAAGATTGGGAGTACCTGAAACAGAGCCTAAAAACACATTTATATGCTAAATAATTCATTTTGCCTTTAAAACTGATAATAATTGTCTTCTTTAGTACAGCTTTTATAAGTAAAGCCAAGATCATATGTTCTATAAATAATGTTATAAAGATCCATACAAACCATTATCTGCAGCTTTCTCAGTGATGCATAGCCATCTTGCCAGTCATGTTTCATTAAATTTTGCTAGTATTTAAAAATATGGAAATATAATGAAAAATCAAAAGTTACTAATCATTTTCTTAGTTCAAAATGGACTAAATGTAAGGCTGCCTTTTACTGGAGTCTTGAGTGACTATCCTGTTCAGTCTCTACTTGGGGATAATTTCTTTGAAAAATCTATTTGTTGATATGCCCTTCTGTTCTTTTTCATTAAAGAATAAAAATATGTAGAGAATTTACCAAGCTTTTGAAATACGTCTCTTTCCCAATTTGAAGCATTTTTTGATTCTGTATATTAAGATTTATCAGTGGAAAAAATTTTAAAGCTATTTATCAGTGAAGTACAATTGTTCCTGATTTTTTTTTAATCACAGTGAGAAAGAGTTAAGCATACAACAGGCATATGTTCC